TTCTTGAGAATGAAGGTCTCATCTTCCTCCTCGTCTTCGTCGTCGAGGGGTTCGAACTCGAATGTGTCCTGGGCAAGGTAACCACTGCTCTCTCCCTCGGCGTATCTGACCTTGTACTCACATTCCTTGTCTCCACACGCGACCCAGAAGAGATCGCGAGAGCAGACGCTAACGGGGTCGTTGCACATCTCCTTGCGGAAGGTGGGGGAGAGGTTCGGGTCGAACATCAGGTACGGTGTGTTTGTGTTTTCTAGGTTGCCGCACTGGACCCACAGTAGGCCAGAGCCCGTGTCGGCTATGATGTACATGTCGGGTTGGTTGTCGTTGGTGCCGACCTTCACGTGAGCGAGAAAACCGGAGCTCGGTTTGGTGGGCACGAGCGGTGTCTCGACGATGGATGTTGTGGTGATGGTGGCAGCAAGATAGGAGGCTCGGGAGGCGGAGAGGTCCCGCTCGAGGTTGGAGGCTTCTTTCATGGATAGGGCTGGGTTATAGTATGGGGACTCGTGCGATCTGTAATGCACGAGTTTTGTTGTAAGGACAGGACGATGGGCTGGAGGATGAACAACAGAAGAAGAAGAGAGGTCAGCGAGGATGATCATCAGCAGGATTGCAAAAAAGGGTGACATAGTTTTTTTCTTTTTAAAAAAAAAAATTATAGGTAGTATTGTTTGTAGAGGTTCAGTTATATGTCAGTCAAATTGAATTGGCAGTTGAAATTAATACTGCCTACCTATATATATACGGAAAATGTTACAGTCCCGTTACGGAACCATTCCGTCAGGATTTATAATCGTTAGATCATCATATAACCGTCGTGGATAGTTAATCTTACGGCTATAAACTCCGACGAAATAGTTCCGTAACGGGCCTATAGAATCTCCCTATATATACATTGGACAAATCGTTCAATTTAAACCCCATACGTTTTAAGCCCTCCATCTACCCAACTCAACACCTTTCTAGCACCCTATCTACCCCCAAATCATACATTTTTTGCCCCTGTTTGGTATAGTGTGTCCATAGTGCTAAAGATTAATAAGAGAGAAAAGAGCAAAGAAAAAATAAAAATAAAAATGAACAGCATATAGCACTTAGCTTATTAAGGTGAATATATAATTATATTATTTCAAATAACGCTTTTGACGAATAAAAGAATTAGCATGATAGCGTTTTTAGGAGTCGGTGTTGGTGGTTTCAGGGACGGAGTTGTAGGGGGCCCAGGGGGCACTAGGCCCCCCTATTTTTTTTTTTTTAAAAAAAAAATCAAGAGTATTTTAGTTAATTTACTATAATATAAAAAAATTTAAAAAGTTAAATATATTGGATTGGGTAGAGGTAAATAGGATGAAAACATAGAAGTTATACCAAAAAATAAAAAAATAAAAATAACCCTTGAGATTTGAGAAGAAAAATATCATCCTTGTACATCGTCTGGCTTCAGTCATCCCATCCGGCTTCGGGCTTCAGGCCTTTGACAAACTATCTTGTTGAGTAAATATTTTTTATACAATTCTCTACTTTCAACGGAGGATGTCAATGAAAGTTGTGAATGCGATATATTTGGGAGAAAAAAAGAAAAGATGGAATTTTTATTTTTTTTATAGCGATATTTATGTGTTTAAATTGTGTGTTTTAAAGTGAAATTTTATTTTTGAGGATCATTATCCCTAATTTTTGTCCAAGGGTTTGACCTAGGAAAGCATTACTTGCATTTTTTAATTTGATTATTGAAGCATAAATTGATGAAATCTCTTGTCCATATGTATATTACGGCATGGGATTTGCTGATAATGGATAATCAAGTATGGTACTAAATTATTGTCATATTTTCTTTTTGGATATTTACAATCTTTTTTATCTAATATTTCTCCTGGAGGCAATGGGTAATTGGTTTGCTATATAAGTTTTTTTTTTTTTTTGGTTGAAAAACCTATATACGTGTTTATTTGTTTTATTCGTTCATTCGGATTGCTAATTCATCGAGAAAGATATATTTCGGAACGTTAAAAGAGAAATGTTGTGATCTCTCAATGTTATCGTAAGTTATTTTCCTGAATACTCGGACACATATATTATGTTTATTTTAGTCGATACATGTACTGATTTATTACAGCTGATGTATTTCTTTTTGTTATTATTTGTTGGACCCCCTCGACAAAATTCCTAGATCCGTCACTGGGTGGTTTTGTCCTTCCTCCCAATATTCCCACGCAATGCATGTGAGTTTACTTCGTGCAAGGCAAACGGTTGAGGGGTCGTTGTTTTGTGGGTGGTTTTGGGGTGAGTGGTTTTTCGGTGTGTGGATTTATGGGCGGATGAGTTACGTTGTAAAGAACTTGGGAGACAAGGTCTGTTAACTCCTTGATAACTGTGGGGTTCTTGAGGATTTGGTTTACATTAACAGAGTTGGAAGAGTTGGAGGGGTAAGTTTTGGTTATTAGTGTTATTATTATTATTACTGAATTGATTGGATAACGACACAATGAAAGTTATAGAGATAGTGAGTAAAACGGTCAAAGTTGTGAGAGTAATGCCAATAGCAGAAATTCACCAAAATTTTGTGGGCACGCCTTCCTTCTAGCGTCAATTTGTTGACGTTCGATTTGTCAACAAGACTACGATAGAAAAAAAAACGACAAATTTCAACAAATTAAACGCTTGTGTTAATACGTTTGCGCTTTTTGTTTGTATTCGTTTTAATAGCTTTGGAAAGATTTTGGATGTTTTTTTTCTGATGGTTTTTAAGATTACACAACGTGTCTATGGTAACATGTGAAAATTCATCATGACTCTTTGGTGAACCATTGGACATGTGGTAAGTCTCCTGAGAGGTCTGCTCCATGCAAAGTAATTAGTTGCAGTCACTCCTGTCCAATATAAATTGGTTTTGTGGTCTGTGAGTCCGTTTGTACTGGGCAGTAAGATACTAGTTCTGGATGACAACCCGTTTCACACGAGAAAGAGAGATCAACACAGATAATCGACACGGAAAAAAAAAATCCATGCTACAACCAGTGTCGGTGTAAGGGAGATTGAAATTGACAAAAGGCAATCTCGTGCTAGAAGTCGACATTTATGTAGGATGTCGATGCTAATGCGTATCGAAGTTCGGATGAGAAAAAGAAATTTATTAGAGTACTAAACCATAAATCCAACAAGCAAATTCACAATCTCCCAACCTAAACCTAATAATATTTGGTATCTTCACCACAAATTTTAATATGAAAAAAACGCTGATCGAAAGGTACTTGCCTCATCATCGAACTATCCTGCGTTTTGTTGGTGTCGTCCACAACCGGACCTACTTGAGGCCTGGGCTGGGCTGAAGCCTAAGCCTTATTTTTTTTAACAACTATTAGTTTAAAACAAAATTATTATATTTTTAGCCCAACTCAATAAATCAACCTATTAACCCAACAAAATAATTTACTTCTATATTAAGTCCAAAGACTAATAACACCACTCAAACAAAATATTACATATTGTTAATCCACTAATTCCACTAAGCACTAACCTACAAAACAGCACTATACACCAAACTCCAGTTAAATAAATTAACCACGGCCATGTTCCTCCTCTGAACACCGGAACAATTAATCTAGAAAAAAAAAA